TTGAAATAATTTTTTAAAAACTGGTCCTTCACCGCAGATAGTTTGAGAAGCACTATTTAAGTATCTTTTCTTGATTCAGAAAGCGTTCGGCTTCCTTTCCCCCATACTTGTTTTCTTTTTATCCTGCAAATTTCTGTCAGAGTAGCCCCTAGACATTAAATTTTTAGCCAGTGTGTGCTCCTGGAAAAGAGAGACTTCTTTTGATTACAAAAATCATGAATTTCCTAAATAGCCATAAAATCACACTCTCTTGAAACCAAGTTAAAGTGTTTCCAAGATTAAAATTTGTGAAAGAGGCAATTTTAGAAGAGGAAATGATCTTTTTAAAGCAAAGCTTTGTTTTTCCCTAAGTAATATATTAAATCTCTATTAGTGTGTTAAACAGGTTTGGCAGGGTGAAACTTCAGAATTAAAAAATTTAAATAAGGAGAGTTAACATTTAAAAATATGTCAGCATGCTTGGCTGGTACTATCCATCGAGTGAGCTGTGGCCTAGCAGAAAACACGGGAGCCGGGCTCTTAAGCAGTGTGGCTGACAGATCACTGTTTTGCCTATAACATGATGCTGCCCATCAAATAAAGGGGTCAGAGCAGATGACCCCTGTTACTTCTAATATCCCTTATGTCTGTGAATTGATTCCGTGATCATTTTAGACTGCTTGTATTTTCATTAAAAAAAAAAACACGTTAATTTTTGGAAACTAAGTAAGATACCCTCCTTTGTATAAGTATTTCTTGATATAGCCCTTTCTTGTCAAGTAAGATGAAAACAACGCAATTCATTTCCTAAGCAGATATAGAAATAAAAATGAGGAATGCCACAGTTAAAACATTTTATAAAAGTAGGCAGGTAGAAATAGTGGTTATTCTCGGCCTCTTTGAGCTATGACAGTGAGTGTGGGCAGGAGAGACAAAGGTGGTAAAGCTGGCCCTGGCAATGGCATTTGCTTCACGGTCCCATGAAGAGAGATGTATTAGAGATCCTGTCCACATCTTTTTGTCGCCTTCTGATCAGCAAACTTGAACCTTTTCCTTGGCTAATTTTTTAGGTGTGACTCAGATGTTGGTCGGGGGCACCTTGCCTTCTAAACAGAAATAACTGGCTGGAAACCATGTGCAAAGTCTAGTATTCTCCCGGTGATTCCGGAGAATTCCTGGAGACTCGCATGCAGGTTGCCTAACCACCAGCCTGCTCGTGCTGGTCGGCTGATGCATCAGCTTGCCCTTCCCTGGCAGCGAGCTGCCTCTCTTCTCCCTCAGAGGTGCACCTTTGCCCTGGGATGCAGGGCCCTAGCCCTCTCACCGCTCTCTCTCTGTCCTCACCCCTTCCTTCCCGTGGAGTTCCAGATGCCGCTCACTCTCTTATGCCGAGAAATGCAGCTGAGTACCTCCTGCTCCCAAATTCACCGTAGACCCACCATGGCAGAGCAGGAGCCGAACACAGAGGCCTCCGATTCTCTTAAGAAGACCTGCCCTCCTTCAAGACTGTTTGGACTTAAAACTGTCTTTTTCCTTGCTGGAAAAGAGCAAAATTTTATTTTAACCAGATTTGATCATTTGCAGCTTGTGGTAATTCAGACAAGGAGCTAGACCCGGGTAGTCTGCAAACTTTTTCTATCAAGGGCCGGATAGTAAGAATTTTAGGTTCTGATGGCCGCATGTGGTATCATCTGTCGCAGATACTCCGCTGTTACGATCCAAACGTAGCCATAGATAACATGTAAACCAATAAATGGAGCTATGTTCCAATAAAGCTTTATTTACAAAAACAGACAAAAATTTATCTGGGATTAAACTATCTTTAGAGGTAGTGCATATTTAAGAACACAGGTAGTCTCCCTCTCAAACTCTGATATTACTTATCTATATATAAACTGCAACGGGCATGTAAATATGTATTTTCTTTGCTTAACTTGTTACTTTGTGTGAAATGCAAATCATCCTTAAATACTCATTTAAATAAGTAGGGCCTTGGGGTGCCTGGGTGGCTCAGTGGGTTAAAACCTCTGCCTTCGGCTCAGGTCATGATCCCAAGGTCCTGGGATCGAGCCCTACATCAGGCTCTCTGCTCAGCAGGAAGCCTGCTTCCTCCTCTCTCTCTCTGCCTGCCTCTCTGCCTACTTGTGATCTCGGTCTGTCAAATAAATAAACAAAATCTTAAAAAAAATAAAAATAAAAATGAAATAAAATAAAAGTAGGGCCTCTCCTAGGTAATATCTGATTCACCTAGTCTGAGTTACTCTAAAAGTAATCATATTTTATTACCTTAGAAGAAAAAGTTTTTCACAAACTCACTGGTCTTATATCCAAATAGATAAATTTGTGAAATATTCCTGTGTATTTCTGGTTTCGTTAGTATAGTCTGAATTTACTTAATATGTAATGCCAAGCAAGCATCTGTATGAGTACAGTAACATAATATACAAGGCAAAGGTATTAAAAATGATAGTATATATTGGCATTTGCTGTGAATATGCGAAAAGGATATGATACCACTTTTTTAGCATTGGTTTATGACGGTTATCTCCAGACTTTTTGGCTATATTTTTGCAAAACCTTTTCAGCAGACATCTTCAAATGTGCATCTCATTTATTTATGAATTACATGTAGAAACTATTGTTATTAGCTAATATTTCAGGTGTATCACAATATACTTGTGTGAGGCTTTTCATTTATCATAGTCTTATATAACCATGTAACTAATAGACTTTCTGATGATTTTCCTCTGTTTTGGCCAAGCTCTAGTCAGATCTGATTAAATTTGTCATTATTTTTACCTGGTAATGATAGAAAGCTTTTACTCAGAGTAGAAGCATCAGCTCTGTGACTCCACGGTATTTACATCGGAGTTTGTATTATCAGGTTCCTTGCAAACATCCTGCCCACTTGGGATGTTTTAGTCTAAGCGTGTATGTCGCAATCTGTAGACAGATCTGTCAGCCCGTCACTGCGCGTTTCAGTGCACTCAGAGTGAAGGAATGAGGAGGACAAGCATCACCCTTCTGCATGTGGAACCCCCTCTTCATGGAGGGCGTCTCGGATCCTGCGAGGCAAGATCCTCTGTGGAGCTGACTGAGGGCACAGGGCCAACCCAGAGTTAAATACCAGCTACAGTGCTTTCCTTTGTAAAGAAAATAAACATAAACGGAGGTCCCAGTCATTTCGTCCCATGTCAAAATAGATTGTATGTACGTGTCTGCATAAACCTCACAATTTTTGAGACCAAAGTTGACAAAAGTATCATTTTTTTCTTATTTAAATCTAAATTTTATATTGTGGCTTTGCTTTTCTCTAGTTTTTTGTTCACCCAGCTGTGGCTTTTAGAACGGAGTCTGGCTTGTGTTTCTTTCAGTCTTCCACAGTGTTTTGCGTGTAGTAGCTGAGCATTAACATACAAATGCCCATTTCACTCTAAAGGGAGCCCCAGGAATGTTTAGTGTCATTACTTTATTGTCTTGCTGAGGATGGGGGGCATATATCTTTTTTTTTTTTCCTTTTTGGTAATTTGAACAAATTGCTTGTTTGCCTGGGCCCGATGGATTTCTTGTTTATAGCATCTAAATGGAGTCATACTGTGCATTTAAACTGTATTCTCTAATTTGAAGAGCGGAATTTTTTGCGCTCTCATTCTACTGTCCACATTAGCTGTTTATCTCAATATCTTCCTGTGACAGATCCCATAGAATATCCTTTTTCCTTCATTATGTATGTCCCTGATAAAAACTTCAATTTTAAGAGTTCAAACAGTCTACTCACTGAGCACTTTTATGTACCTGCATGATAAAGTGGGTTGGATAGTTCTGGGCTGTGAGGAATAAGGTGGACAGGGGTGAGCTCTCAGTCCATGAAGGGTGCAGGAGTGTGGCCCCTTTCACTGCCTTTCATTGGTTTATTGATGCCGCACTGAGATGTTCATACAGGAGTCCCTCTAACGGGTTCTAGGGATGTCTCCAGAAATAAAGAGAAATAACCAACAGTCATTCCCATCTTGAGAGAAGCTCTGCCGTTTTCTTGGTGGAACAGAAGAGTATCCTCAGTCCTCGCTGTACAACAAAGTCCCCTTTACAGAAACGCTGAGGACAGTTGGACTCTCTTGCGTGACACCAGCTACCTGTATTTTTTTAAGTAGGCTCCACGCCCAATGTGGAGCCCAGTTGAGGATTTGAACTTGTGACCCTGAGATCAAGACCTGAGCTGTGATCAAGACTCAGACGCTTAACCAACTGAGCCACCCAGGAGCCCCAGCCATCTGTAATTTTAAGAGCCCCCCAGGTGATTCCATTGCCTGGCCAAGGTTGAGAGTAATAGTTCAAGGGGCAAATAAGCTGATTAGGTCAATAGAAGGAAAACAAAAGATGTAGGTCTCAGTAGGGATAAAGGGACTCGACAGTAGAAAAGAAGTTACCCCACTATACACGGTTGGAAAAGATGAAACAGTCTCGTAGCTTCCAGCTGAGGTAGGAATAGACCTTCCCTGACTGCCGTTGATCACACAGGGAGGGTTAAGGTGTTGGCTGTGAGAACCAACAATTTATAATCTGATCCAAGAATGTCTGAAGGGCTTTGAGGCCTTTGGCTTTGGAGGGTGGAAGTTTATTGACAAACATTCCAAGTTTAGAAATTCCTTGGACGTCTTTTGATCTGTTCATATTTTGCCCTGGTGTGTGCACCTGCACACGAGCACTCTCCTTTGGCCTAGGGCTACTCTACACTGTGTTAAGAAACTTACACTTAGAAGGCTTATTTGGTTTTGAAGATGTGCCAGGGCTCTTGGCCTAAAAAAGAAAGATAAAGCAAATCTGTTCTCCTCTGTACCACTCTTTTGGTTTTTATCCCATATCGCCTTGCTTTTCTCAGAAGGACATACAGCTCGAGCCAGCCCGTGAGGCCACGGAGCCTTCCCTCCCCGTAATTCCGGAGCCTGGCGAAGCATCTTCTCTCCAGTAAGTATCGCCTGAGCGTTTGTCGGTGACGCCTGCAAACTCCACCTGTGTTGCAGGAAGCCGTGCAAGTACTGATCAAGCACTCGGCCGATGTCAACGCGAGGGACAAGAACTGGCAGACCCCGCTCCACGTGGCGGCGGCCAACAAGGCTGTGAAGTGTGCGGAAGTGATCATTCCCCTGCTGAGCAGCGTCAACGTCTCCGACCGAGGGGGCCGCACAGCCTTGCACCACGCCGCTCTGAACGGCCACGTGGAGGTGAGCGCCCTCCCCACTGGGCCCACGAAATCTCCCCAGAGCCCCTCTCGGCCCCACGTGGAACCCGATCATGCTGCCGAGGCTCTTAGAGGGTGTGATGCTCCTGGCTGCACGCCAGACCTTGGGCAGCGGCAGCTGGTGCTCAGTGTACGGCCCGTGGGTTGAAAGAGTAGCCGCCAGCTCGGTCCTGTCCTCTGCCACACGAGCCACGGGGTTGTCGAGGACGCCAGCCTCCTCCCGCGCTTGAGCTGCAGGTCGCGGCCCCGCCTTTCGACTGGATGCGGCCCTGACGCACACCTGCACGTTGGTTTTCTTTCAGATGGTCAACTTACTCTTGGCCAAAGGAGCGAACATCAACGCGTTTGACAAGAAGGACCGGCGTGCTCTGCACTGGGCGGCCTACATGGGTGAGCGGTCCCCGAGCGGGCAGGGGAGCGCGGACGGCGGTAACTGCAGAGGCCGGGCTGGCCCTGAGCACGTCGGCTTTCTCGTGGGCCAGCCTCACGTCTTTCCCAGCTCGCAATCCGCTGAGTTAAGATTCGGTCCGCTTTCCCGGCGTGCGTAGAGCCCCCTCTGCCGCTGCCCTCCTGCCCATGAACCTGGCCTTGCGGGCCTCGCTTCTGCCAGCCGGCTGGGAGAGACGAAGGAAGGAGTACCGCGTCTGTGGTTTTTCTTTTTCACTTCTGTCGGCGCAGGTGCCACTGACAAATGATAGGCCTCGTTGAGTTTATTCTCAGCGTAGACTTGTGAGAAATGAAGAACTGAGGTCCTTCCTCTGTATTTCTAACTGGAGAATGTCCGGCAATTGGAAAAGCAGGTGGGATTGTGTCAGCCCCAAGTTCTAAACCACCTGGGTGCCCATCCACCGGCGACTGTGTCGGTGGATGATAACGAGCTGCCCAGTGGGACACTGTGCACTGACTACCGTGATGACGTCATTAGTATTTATTAACATCGAATGATTCTGTGTTAAATAAGAACAGATCATAGCACAGTGTGGATAATATGATCCTCATTTTTGTAAAAAAATCTGCAATATCAGCAATCTGGAATATATCATATGCTGAAATGTTAGCTGAGTATCTCAAGGGATTGGCGATTATGGGTGGTTTTGGTTTCCTTTTAACACCTTTTGCCTTTTCCGAATCCTTTCTAACAAACCTGCAGGCCTTTTATTATCATAAACAACAATAACGTTAATGATGGAGAGAAGAAAGAGAATGGGTTGGGTAGGGATGAAATAAATTATGTGTGGTGGTTGAGTCTGAATGGGTATTTGGGCTTAAAAAACCAGAATCTTAAGATTTTGCAAGCATTATCATTTTTTTTTTTTAAAGACAACGTGGGCTTTTCAGCTGATGGAAGCAGATTGGATGTTTGCATGGTACCTACGGGACTGGAGCCAGGGGACATTGGCCAAACTGCTGTTTAGGCAGAGCACACACTAGACTCATGTGTGATGGGACTCAAAGAACCTGGGGCTCAAGTTTGTTCTTTGCTGATGGACGTTTAAAACATTTACGTAGAATTGCTTTAAAGAAGTCAAGTCCTTATTTTGCATGTCATCAGGATATAAATAGGAAAAAATACGTAGGTGACTATCTTTAAGGAATAAAAGACAATACCAGGACAAAAGACAAAAGATAGCACTGGTTAAGCTAAGATAGCACCACTAGTCATTGAAAATAATTTTTCTATGTACAAGTCTTAGGGGGAAGAATGTCAAATTTTAATAAAATGAGCCATGACCAAGCATGTTATCTCTCCCTCTTTCTGTCTGTCTCTATCTCACACAGACTCACCCAACTCCCACCTCCCCAACCAAGCACAGCTCTGTCTCCATGTCTTTCTTTTTCTCTCTCACACACACACTCATACCCACCCCTGTGCACATCTTAGACCCTTGGAATCAGTACTTATCTTCTACGCCTCAGTTATCAACCACATTCACAGCAATGAACCAAAGCATCAAGCAACCTTCAGTCACAATATAGAGGTCAAATACATTTATCGTACTATATATAGTAAGATGGGGTACAAAGGAAAGTGTTCTAGAAAATATGCCAACAGCAGTTGAAACCGGAAGGGTTTCTGTTTAGCCAGTAATTCACAAGAACACTTTTAAGTTGAACCATATGAAATTGTCATTTTTGTGGCCCAAAAAGAAAAAAAAAAGTCAAGCAGCAACAATTTCATATGATTTAACAATAATATGGTGTTATTCTGATTACTTGATTTTTTTTCATGAATTTTTCCAAACCAAATTGTCCCTGTTGGACTTTACAGTAAGGAATGGGAGCTGCTTTTAAAAACATTGCTATCATTTTAACATAATTCTTTTTTAGGCTGTGGTACTAACATATTGGCAGGACCTTGTTATTTAAAATGTTGGTGGTAGTAAACGTTAATGGTTGTGATGTAGGTGGACTAGATCATCAAATTATCCTAACAAGGTTACTGGTGTTTTCTGCTGCTTTGTCTGTGAAGGCCACCTGGATGTCGTGGCCCTGCTCGTCAGCCATGGAGCGGAAGTGACGTGTAAGGATAAGAAGGGTTACACCCCCCTGCACGCTGCAGCCTCCAATGGACAGATCAATGTGGTCAAACATCTCCTGAATCTGGGGGTGGAGGTGAGCTGTGATGAGTGCATCAACTCATGGTGTATTTGTGGCTTTTATAATGTTGGGTTGGATTTTTAAAGATTTTATTTATTTATTTGAAAGAGAGTACAAGAGAGAAAGCGCACAAGCAGGGCCACCGGCAGACCCCCCGCTAAGCAGGGAGCCCAATGCGGGGCTCGATCCCAGGACCCTGGGATCATGACTTGAGCTGAAGGCAGTTGCTTAACCAACTGAGCCACCCAGGTGCCCCTGTGGGTTTTCTGTTGTTCTGAGATTAAATCCTGGTTGCATTTTAATTCAAGAGGGTAAAAACCACCTTGTTTACTAGCATCCTGTCTTTTTGAGTTTCCAGGGGTAACTGATGGAGGGCAATGGGGGCATACAGCAAGTAACGAAAAATCAGAAACTTGGGCTTAAAGAATCAGAATCTTAAGATTTTGCAAGCATTATCAGTTTTTAAGTTTTTTTTAAGTTTCTATATCAACACAGAGAAATATTTAAACGTATATATTGCATGTAATACATAGTTATCATTTTTTAGACAAGCTAGGGTTCTTCATCCTACCTTCAGCATTTAGGCTTCTAAATTGTGGTGTATGAGGTGCCTGGGTGACTTAGTTAAGCATCTGGCTCTTGATTTTGGCTCAGGTCATGATCTCAGGGTCCTAGGATGGAGCCTTGCATCAGGCTTCGTGCTGAGCAGGAAGTCTGCTTAAGATTCTCTTTCTCCCTCTCCCTCTGCCCCTCCAGCCCCAACCACAAATGCAATAAGGAAACTCCAGTGCTTTTACCTGCCCTGTGTCGGACTCATTTGCAGATCGATGAAATCAACGTCTACGGGAACACGGCCCTCCACCTGGCCTGCTACAATGGGCAGGATGCAGTGGTGAACGAGCTGACGGACTACGGTGCTAACGTGAACCAGCCCAACCACAGCGGGTTCACCCCTTTGCATTTTGCTGCTGCCTCCACACACGGTGCTTTGTGTCTTGAACTATTAGTAAACAACGGGGCAGATGTTAACATCCAGGTACGACACTCTTTGGCTCTCTCTCTGCTAGATACCTCTGCATTGAGCCTCCGTTTGAGCAAAATGAACTCTTATAAATGGGGTCCTATTTTAGAATCGGAACTCTTAGTACCTTGACCTCCATAGCCTTGTCCTATATTGGCATGCTATGGAGACGGAGCTGTGTTGTTACTGCAGAAGTAGTACGACCTGCTGGAAGGCCCTGGGAGGTTCTAGCCACATGCTTTGGTAGCTTAGTGAATGTTCTGGAGCAAATACAGGTTCCCGGGGATGTTGATGTGACCTAGTTTCTAACACTGAGGTGGATGTTGAGCTGATATGGCAGAGCTGCTGAGAATACAAAGAAAAGCCTAATCCGACAATGTCAGGTCTGTTCCAGCTGTGGCACGGCCCACCAAGGAGTTTCTCAGATACTTTGCAATAGTAAACCGTAGGTAGTGACTGTGGTAGTGTAACATTGACCTAATAGTGGTCAACTGGTCCTGATAGTCTTTATGCAGCAAACTGACCGAGGACTATCTAGCACCCTCTGTTTGGTTCTGAGGGAGAACTCCAAGATGAGGTATGAGCTCTGCTCTCAAGGAGTTTACCGTATGGTAAGGAAATAGTGAACTCAGATTCTCATGCAATGAGAGAGAACATGATGAGTGGCACGAGAGAGTAACAGAATATTGCAAGCGCTTCCTGCTTGGGGCTCAAAAACGAAGATTGCTTTTGAGGTAAGAGTCAGGAGATTGATACCAGTTGAGATGAGGAGAGAGAGAGAGAATCTGAGAGAGGGCATTCCAGATAGAGAGAACCACATGAACAAAGGGTTTGGGAGTTCCAGATAGGAAACACTCTGGGTCGACTCTAGGCTCGTAGTTAGCTCCGTGTAACAGATAACCGAGAGGAACTTACGCACGGCCCTCACCATCCAGGTTCCATCACTTTGAGCACATTTAGATTGTAATGGGATCTCCGCATGTGCTCAAAGGACTTTGTACTCATCCGCAGCTTCCCTTCTCCCCGGCACACAGGAATCCAGGTCCCGGTGTATTCTGCCTCTGTTTTTGAAAAATGATTCTTCCTGAGATTTAATTTTAAGAATATTGGATCAATCCATTTTAAGGACCTTCCCTATTCACTACTAAAATCTTTTTACATTTTTTCTTATAATTTCTAATAGTGGGGAAATAGGAGACAAATATTCAGAATGATGATTTATTGAGCTTGAAGGGAGCAGAAATTGTATGAAAGAAAGGAGCCAGGAACAAGCTGAAATGTGACCAGACCAAGGAAGAAGGCTTGCCAGCTGGCTGAGGAGTTTGGGCTTCTATAAGCTACAGGGACCACTAGTCACTGTAGTGGTCATGTGATCCAAACTGAGCATTAGAAATAGTAATCTGGTCACAGAACACCAGAGACGGAAAACAGGAAGGAAAAAAATTATATATATGATGACATAAACATTTTAAATGTTTATGTGGCAAAACAAAACAAAACAAACTAAAAATAACAAACCCTAACATATACAAAATTGAAAGAGAAACAATTCAGAGAAATTTTTCTACATTATACATGATGAGCAAAGAGTTCATGTATTTAATATGTAAAGAGCTCATAAAAGCCAGTAAGATAAAATCTGATAACATACTAGAAAATGTGTGTAAAGGCAGGTCGTGAAGGAGAAAACAATATCCATTAAACCTATGAAAAATATTCTGTATCATTAGTAATTAGGAAAAATGCAAACTAATGCACAAGTATATGTACTTTTAAGATTTGCAAATATGAAAAAGACTAGTAATACCTACTGTTATCATTGAAAAAATTAATATGCAACAAGTAAATATCTAATTTTTTAATTTTGAAAAAGTTATGTGTCTGGGTTATACACATAGAAAGAAAAAAGTACTTGGAATATATACCAATATATGATCATTGTGGGGAGGCAAAATTATGATTTGAATTTTTTGTTTCATTTTTATGTATTTGTTTTAATCTTCTGATAGTGATACATAAGATGTGTTATTTTTATATCCAGATGAAGAAAAAACATTTTATTTTTATAAAAAGAAAATTCAGGTAGAGTGGACCTAGACAGAGGACAATTAGAGAATAACTGGGAAGTTAGTAAAACTAGATAAGAGGTACAGAGGACAGGGGAGGGGGACAGCCAACAGAAGAGACAGGCATTGTAGAAAGAAAATCAATGAAATTTGGTTGGGTGGGAGTTGGAAGAGTTGAAGACAAGGGTAAGAACTGAAACCTGGTTCAGAGGTGACAGAGCATCCCTAAGGATTCGGTTCTGAGGCTAGGGTGCCTGGATGGCAATCCTAGCCTTGGCTTTCAGGAATTATATAATCAGAAGCAACCTCTCTGGGTGCCTGTTTATCTGTAAAATTTGGGAAACAGTAGCATCTTCATGGAACAGCAGTGAGGATTAAACCAGTTATCTCATATAAATTACTTAGAATGGTTCCTGCCATGTGGCAAGCACTCAGGAAATGATTATTGTTGTTATGAGGGACATCAGGAGAAGGACTCGGCTTACTAGGTTAAACAGTTAAGTTGTTGAGAAGGTGATTTTGAGCCTTTGGTGCCACCAGTCTGAGAAAACCAGTGATGGAGCATGCGATCCTCCCGCGTTGGGACAGCAGAAGATAATAGAAGAAAAAACTTAGGCTCCCTTGTTCACATAGAGGTGATGGATCTTGGAGGCTGGAAAAGGGTGAGGTCACCCAAGGAGATAGTACATCATAGCATGAGTAGAGAAAGGGATGGAGGATGCCAGGATCCCTTTAGTCTTAGGATCGGGAGGAGGAGGCAGAGCCAGAAACGGATGAAAAAAGAAGAGTTAGAGAAAATAGAAAAGAGTTGGAGGGGAGCATGATGTCTTCATGGAGGTAGAGAACAGACAGAAATGAAGAAATAGAATATTTAAAGAGAATTTGAGTTCCATATCTTGTAAGTGGAGCCCATCCAGGTCCTAAATGGGGGTAAGGGAAGGCCTAAGAGGACATGAAAGAGACCAGGAACTGTAACCCAAGGTGGGAAGAGTCATCGTATGGTATTGAAGTCATGGAGGACAGTGGTGAGAAGGCAGGAGGTTAACAGGTGGCTGAACTGGCGATGTTCCCAAAACTTGTGACACTTGTATTGCTGTTCTGGTATCTGAATGACATCCTTCAATTCTCCAAAGAAAGGAAAATTATTACTGAAGTTAAATAAAGTAGCTCTTGTCACCAAACTTCACTAAATTAATTCAGGGGGTTGTCCGATGCTCTCCATTCCCCTTTTAAAGCATGCCAACTGATGTGCTCAGTGTGCCTGCCAGCAAGGCTAGAAGGCCACCTCTGGAGCACCTGCCCACTCTCCCCAGTTAACTGACTGGTGCTCAGTTCAGAGTAGTTCAGGGACTCCAACGCTATATGGAGTTTATGGCAGTTTATGGCAGCCTTGTCCTCTATAAAATGGACCTGGAAAGCATGACTCCTTAATTTTAGTAATTAATTCCCCCCGTAGACTGCTAATCATCAATAGAATATGAGAAATACCTTTTTAAAAATCTGAGACTTAGGTTTATGTATTATCTGATCTGAATGAATGGGGCTTTGGTTAAAATCGAGCCTTCTCCCTCGGTCTCCTTTCATCTCCTCTGTTTACATCCTCCGGCTTCCTTCTCTCGAATCCTCCTTCACGATTCACTCTGGAGGCATGGATCGTCTAACATTTCCGTAGAGCCATTTTGTCTGACTCTGGAGGTAGTTTTCTAATTGAAGTTGTTATCTCTCTGGACCACATTGCTCCTTGGATTTTGAAAGTGTTTGTAGATTGCAAGACGATTTGTATTTGTTTAGATTTTCTGAAGTTTGGGGGAAATAACATTTTGAAACGTAGCCAGTAGCCACCCACATATTTGCTTTATTTTCCTCCATCCTCACAAAATACTAAAAGCGATGTCTTCATGGACAAGTACAAGATGATGGAGAGAAAAGGAAGGATACTATGTCCTGAGCACATTTTACAATCCTCTGTTTTCCTTAGACTGGCCATGGCCCTGTCTGTCTTTGTAGTAATGGTGGTTTAATTGTAATAAATAATAAAGACACAATACTTCAGACAATAATCCATTGAAGGTTCACTTGTATTTCACAAATAGAAAGAGCATGAGAAGATACAAAATAATTTTTCTCCTCCATTACAGACTACGTTGTAATTCCAGTAGCATCCCAAAGCTCTTTTTAGAAGCATTCAAAATGTTAAAGAAGGCACTACATACATAGCTATTCCAAATACTACTTAGATGGATTCAGAATTACCCTTACCTGGTTGCCTACCTCCAACATTTCAGACCGCCCATGGTCTGAATTCTTTCCTGCCTCTGGGCCCGTAGGCTGTGTAGTCCTCAGACACTGGGGCTGAAGTCTGTCGCACATCTCCTGGAGTGAACCAGCTCCCTTCTTTATATGTACCAGGTCCAAACTATAGAATGACTTGCACTGCAGAGCTCAAAGGTGAGAACTAGAACAGGCAAGAGAAGAAAGCAATGATAAGGACATTATGATTGGAACTTTGGAGAGCTTGTGAGGGAACGGGAGAGGAATGAATGAGAACCAACCAGTACCATCTATGGCCTTTAGAGCCATTTAAAAAATTAAACTGTGTATGGCTTTTTGAAAATTAGGGTTTTAGATTGCTCTTCCCTTGAATTAGGAAGCCCTTTTGGGTTTCTGGCACATTCCCCCTGACTTAGCCTGCCAGCTGGCCTTGATGTTGTTTTATAGAGGCTCTGTTGCCTTCTAGTCGGGCCATTGAGCTGTGTGACTCCCAGAGACACGTGCCACAGACAACACGATGCTTCAAGTTCCTGGGTGGTAGCAACGTGTATGAGTTTAGGGAAGGTTTGGGGGATGTTGGAGGATGGGGAAAGAAGATATTTGGTGTGGAAGACGTGATGGATTTCTGAGGAGAATGGTGGTCAAGGAAATTGAAACACTCCATTTAGTTCAAGGATTAATCTTCCTGCTGAAATTTGCCCTGAAAGACTACTGATATTCATAAAATATTCTCAGTCTTTTTTAGTTTTCTTTCATGACCATGGCTGAGCTGTGCCTAAATCAATAGAAGGGCTTCTTGCATAATTAAAAAAAAAAATCTCAAAAAACCAAAATTTTCCGAGCCCTAACTCTGATGGGAAAATGAGTCCAAAAATAGGAAAGAGACTAGAAATTAAGAAAAGAATCTTATAACAGCAAAGCTTTGATTGAGTGGAAGAACTGAGCATATCCTCTCCTTTGACAATGCAAGGGATATCTTATCCTTGTCTGGAGTTCTTAAAATAGCACTAACAGCAGGTCCCCCCCTCCATGTGACAAATTTCTCAGGCAGATAATGAAACTCTGTAGTATCCCTAGTCTCACCCTGAATATCCTGAGTTCTAACTTGTAAAGACTAAATGAAAAGTATTATCCTTTGACCTTCATTAGTTTCCAGTGGCTTTTTACATTCAAACCATGTAAGCACAATTGTTCCAAAATGCCTCCGTGATATTCTCAACGCTTTCTGTCCCCACCTCCCCCACCTTCTGTCACCATATCCCTCGGGGAAAAAAATCAGCTCAGGGCTGGACTCCGCGGTAGATGAACCCAGGCAAAGGTACATCTGATATAGCTGTTCTTTGTATTTTACCAAAATTTGGTCGTCTGTTTATTTGTCCCTTTACCAAAGGCACAGGCACTCCACAGGAGACAAGGGCACGGTGTTGCTACCCCCGAGATGGAACCAGCTTTGTCAACTGCGCACCACGGAACCTGGTTGCTTCTGTGGCTTTCGGGCTGCAATTTAGGGAGTTACCACCAAGCTGGTGGTTATTCCCCGGAAAAGCCTTTAAGCCATTTTCCAGTCATGGAAAACTTCTTAGCTGAATATTTATAAAGATATTACCTAAGCACTGAAATATTTATGGCTTTGTATATGTATTTAACTAAGAGCTAATTAGTGATGTTTTTCGATTAAATTTAAGGGAAAATATTGGAGCAAAATTTAAAGAAATAGCACCACCTAGGGACAGATTAACATCAACTCGGCGATTTCTGTAATTGTGTCCCTGTCCTCTTGTTGCTGCTCCTTTCTCTCTAAAAATACCCTTTCGGTAAAGCTTCAAGCTTACTTCCATCTTCCTTTTTCAATCTTTTCTGACTCTGGTTATAATCATAGTAGATGAGAAAAGATCCTGTTTTCCCCCCATCTACCTGGTGCCTTTTCATTGTAAAGATTATTTTTCAATCAATGCACTTACCGTTCTGATGAACTCTTTCTTTGGCAAAGATTGTGCATGTTTCCTTTCTTCCTTTCTAAGGAACAGACTTACAGGCTGTAATAAAAATTCTTCTGCTACACCCTTGTGGTTTTATAAGCTATTCAGGCCCCCTCCGTCTAGCAGTGGCTCCTAAACTGTAACGTGCTGTGCAGGTTAGAAATGGGGATCCCTTTGTCCCCGCTTGGACTCAGTGGTCTGGGTCAGGGCACAGAACTCACATCTCTGGCAAGAACCCCAGGTGGTTTAGACACAGTCAGTCTTTGGTTCACTCTGAGAAATACCGATTCAAATGATTCTTTGTTCCCATTGTGAAGTTTTTAAAAGAAAGAGTCATTTTTTAAATGTATTTGCAGGTTGCTATGTTTTCCTTTTTTAAATTAAAGTATTGTCTTATTTGAGTCTAGTTGACATACAATGTTTTCGGTGTACAGTACGTAGTTTCAGGTGTATAACGTAGTGGTTCACTTTCTCTAGATGTTGTGCTCAGCTCACCGCAAGTGTAGCTCCCACCCGTCACCACACAACACTGTTGCAATGTTGTTGCCTCCATTCCCTGTGCTGTGCCTTTTATACCCATGACTTATTCCCTAACTGGAAGCTTGTGTCTCCCACTCCCCTTCACCCATGTTGCCCAACTCCCTACCCTCTTTCCTCTGGCAACTGTCAGTTTGTTCTCTGTATTTATGAGTCTGTTTCTGTTTTTTATTTTATTTGTTTATTCATTTGTTTTGTTTTTTAGATTATGCATATGAGTGAAATCCTATGGTATTTGTCTTTCTTTGTCGGACTTATTTCACCCTCCAGGTCCATCCATGTTGTCACAAATGGCAAGATCTCATCCTTTGTATGGCTGCATAATACTCCTCTGTGTGTGTGTGTGTGTCTGCACACTACATCTTCCTTATCCATTCATCTGTCGGTGGACACGCAGTTTGCTCCCATGTCTCGGCTATTATGAACAACACTACACTAAACATAGGGTTGCATGTATGTTTTTGAATTTGTGTTTTCATTTTCTTTGGGTAGATACCCAGTCTTGGAATTACTACATCATATGGTATTTCTATTTTTGAATTTTTGAGGAATTTCCACCCTCTTTTCCACAGCGGCTGTAACAGTTTATGTCCCCACGAACGGTGCATTTTAAAGCACAGGTATATGGGTTTCATTACAAAAATAAACTTGCCTTTTTGAAATCTCATGTCTAACCTTAGACTTTGGAAAATGTTTCTCCTGCGAGTTATAAAAAGAATAGCTACATCTATTTCTTTTTTTTTTCCCCTTCCATTAACAGTATCTGAATGAAAGGATACATTCTGTCTATGGGGGATACTTAATACTTTCTTTTGGGTATTACTATTTTTAGACGCAATTCTGTAAATAACTTTCTTAACAAATGTGTAAGACTTTAGTATTTGGTATAATGATGATCAGTCTATAGATTCCATTCATTTTTCACGTTTTGGCTTAATCTGTATCAGGGAGTTCTATCATTTATGTTTTAGATAATAAAGAGATGTATAAATTCAGCGCATTCCCAGGTGATCATTAAAATGGCCATTTGCTAAACCATTGTATGTCTTAATCTTATGATTTCTAATGACTTAATTGAAGCAAACATTTCTGTTTTGGAACAACCAGAAGTGTCGTTTTCTTTGGAATCAGAACGTAGGGAGTGGTGGAATATTCCAGGTCGGTTCTGAGGGCTGCAGTCATTCACAGCAGCTCAGTCAACTGTAGGTCAGACAGGGCCAAGCCAGGTAGCACATCATTTGTCTTTTCTCATGTACTTTAGACAAAATTTGAAAAAAAAAATGCCTTGAAACCATCTTCATTGGTAGATCGCAAGAGAGAAAAAAGCGTTTTGGATGATTGCTTCCATTTGAAACAGGATAGTTTAAAAATTGTCGGTGTAACGAGAAATTTCACATCTCTTCTCTAAAGTAATTTTCACTTCTCTAAGCTTCTTTACAATGAGATGTTATGCAGTAACTTGAGATAATATATATGCTTTTTGTTTTGCTTTCAAAATTATCTTTTTGCCTTTTGTCAGTTTCTATTAGACTTTTTAAAAAAATCTGAATTGACCTTTTTTTTTTTTTCCCCCAGAGCATCAGCAGTAGTATCCATAGGGACGTTATAGACTGACGTCACTGATCCATTGTTTTTCTCCCCCTCATTTTTTAGAGTAAAGATGGCAAAAGTCCACTGCACATGACAGCTGTCCATGGAAGGTTCACACGGTCGCAAACCCTCATTCAGAATGGTAAGAGAGACCCTTCCGCAGCATTGTTCTTTGTTGGACAGTATCCTGATCTGAGTGGGGCTGTCAGTTATCTGAACATCAAAGATGGTGCTCTATATTAGATGATGGTCGGATTTATTAAGCTGAGATTTACACCATCCTTTGATGCACTTTGCTAAAAGTTCTTTATCAGACATCATCCCTATCCAGCTTAGAAGTGAGAACATAAAGCCACTGTTTCTCGGTTAATTCCTAGTCGGTCAAAGAACATATGATTTTGAAACTGGAAATGATGCACTTCTATGGGCTCAAGGTCCTGCACTTTTCACTCTGAAACTAATACAAATAATTATCATACATTTGCTAGCAGCAAATCTGAATTATTTCTAAGTTCTACAATTCACCATTGTTTTCTAAGTTAAAACTCTTTAAGCTACTTAGGCAAAGGTAGAGAAAACGAGGTGAGTCAGAGGAAAAGGAGTTAAGTGCATGATATAAAAGATGATAAAGTCACAGGCTTGATAGAGACCTTGGAAAGCCACATAATCTAGTAATTTTCCAGGCTGATGACAAGGGTATGCTTGAGCCACTGGGTTGTCTCTATAGCTACAGAACTAGGGAGTGTCACTTCACATGATGCTTCCGAAGGCTGTTATGGGTCATCGCCAGCATCTGTGAGTGGATTGACCTTGACCACACAGCTACTGCTTTCTTAGCAAATCTTAGAGACAATTAAAAGCAAGAACAAAACAAAATAGAAAAACACGTAGGTTAATCCAGATTTTATGCTGACATTCCAAGTTCAGCAATTTCTGAACTATCTTTAGTTGACCCTCATTTGTACTTCTCAAAATTCTGGCGTTAGTCAATTTCTTGGACCTGCCTTTTTCTCTTTTATAAGGATTTTGGACAAATTGTTAGTGATACTGTGTTACGTCCTCGGCACTCAAGTCATAAAACCAAAAAGTTACTTGACATTTGATGGAAGATCCACCAGGGAAATTATGCTTAGGAAGCAGAACATCTGCAGCAAAGCGAAGGAAATTTATAGGCATTTCAGTGCAACTGTAGGGGACAATCAATCCTGACCAGTTTCCAATGAGCAAAGGAAGGTAAAATGAAAATTAACTGCACAACACCCATTAATTCTAATTTGAAATACATGGAAAGTGTTTGACATTCACTTTATTGAAGGGGCTCCTCTAATTGTTTTGTTTTGCTTGAAGTAAACAAAGGGAGATGGGGAGCGACCTTAGAGGCTCTCCTCCTCACACTTTCCTCGTCCCATATAATTCTCAACTGTTTTGTTTTCAGAAACAGTGTCCACTGGCTAAAAAAATCAATAAAACTAGGGAGATAGTTGGTATCTATTTTTTAAAAATTTAGTGTGAATGTAGTCAGTGGGCTTACCTCTGTGGTATAAAAGCTTTGCCCCCTCCTAAAGCATATTCGAGCACCAGCGGTCAGATCAGAGAAAGAGCAAGTTTCTGCTTGTAAACAGTGCCTCCCTCTGGCCGGACCACCCTGGCCACCTCCCCTGAATCAAGGCCATGACCCGTCTCCCCGTGTGAGGCTAGTGTGTGATAACGGTCTGGGGATGATGCTGGCTGCTTTGACCTCTCCAAAAGCCATTCCTGTGGACCCGAAAGACTCCCTTGCCCTCTCCGGACACCGTTACAGGCTTTTGAGTTGAGATGAGATCTGAAAGAGAACCACCTCTTGTCCTCGGCGATCAAGCGGCTTATTTCAGAGCTTCATTCTTGGATGCCCTGGCACCTTCCTTGGGGGTCAGGTGGAGTCCAGGGGCCCAAAATGACGAGACACAGTGGCTGTACCGTGCAGCCCCTTATATGTAATGATGAAGCTAACATTCATTGAGGGTCCACCCTGTGCCAGGCATTTGGGTAAGCGCTCCCCGTAAATGCATGAGAAAGAGGTGCTATTGTCATCTCCATTTCAAAGGGAGGGAAACTGAGGCAGGGAGGCGGTTGCTTCCATCAGGATACATGGCAGGTATGTGGAGGAACAGGAATTGAAACAGTCTAACCTCAGAGACTGAACTTTCAACCACCACACTTACAAATGCGTTCTCTGAGTGAACAACGGCATGTTTAAACAAATTTTTTTTCAAAAGATTTTATTTATGTATTGGTCAGAGAGAGAGTGTGTGCACACACAAGCAGGGGAAGTGTCAGGCAGAGGGAGAGGGAGAAGCGGGGTGCGGGGCTCCATCCCAGGATCCTGGCATCATGATCTGAGCTGAAGGCAAACGCTTAACTGACTGAGCCACGCAGGCACTGATAAAAAAGTTTTTTTAACCTGGGTTTTATTTACTTTACGAGTCATTTATATGTAGACTAGAGTCATCCCTGTAGAAGGATGACCTGCCATTCTCTTCTCTCAGCTGACAGTTCTTTACATTCATTACATGTGAGAACTGTGAGTTCTTCCATTTGACATTTTAAAAAACACCCTTAGGGAGAAGAGTGGGAAGCTCTTTTCTTTCCTCCTATTTGTTAGCTTCCTTCTGGGAAAAACCCAGAGGCTCACACCCCCGGACCTGGTGTCTGTCCTCCAGAGTGGGTCAGTGCACAACAGGACTGTGAAAGCCGGTCCCACGTGGGGACATCGGTTGGCTCCCTGAACCGACAGAGCACGCTACTGAGGAACATTCTTTGTGTTTATTTGTTTTGTGAAATCACCCTGGTGTTAGGACTTTGTATGACATTTCTCTGCTTCCCTGACTGTTCTCTATTCAGGGTTACTAGGTCTTCATAATAACTTTTTCCAGAGTCATTTAGTGTGGGTAAGACAATTGCCAAAAAAGAACAAGAAAAGAAACAGACAAACAAACAAATAAACAAACAACAACAACAACAAAAACCCCAGACACACACACACACCTCTTTTATTTTTGAAGATAGTGAGCAAAGACCACCTCTGTGTTCATTCACGTTGTTTGTTGTCTGAAGCTGGCTTGTGGCAGCCAGAGTGGGAAAGAGCTGAAAATGTGATGGCTTCAGGCCTTTGATCCAGCCCTCCCCCCTCGGCCGCTGCCTCCGATGCTGTCCAGCAGGTTACTGGAGTTCAAAAATGATGTTTCACAGAAGCTTTAAAAATAGAGTTTGAAAAGGAAGAGTCCAGTGATAGGCTAGGATGATTCATTGCGAGATTTTCGACCTTTTGGCTCAGAGTGTTTCCAAAGCAGTTTAATAAGATGACCATTTTTGTCTGTGCGGGGAAAACTAACTTCAGATGAATGTTTAGATAATGCTGCATAAATTACACCTTCCGACATGCTTTGCATACTTGTAAACTCATAAATGTTGATTTTCCTCACTAGTTGCCAATAATCAAGTACCGAAGTTTAACTTGCAAGCTGCAAATGAGCAGTAAAGATACTTAATTTGCTTGTCAGGCAAATCTTAAAGATTTTCAAGTGAAAATGGAAAGGTTTAAGGAATGACTGTAAAATAGAAATTCATTCATCTGGAGGTCCTACTCTAATATAAAACATATTTCTGAATAACAAATACTGTCTCTCTCTTATTTGTCCACTTGTTATGATGTTTCTCTGAAACATATTTTAAATGTTGACAAAAACATATGTGCAAGATAATTAAATATATTTTTACAGTTTTAAATGGACTTATGAGGGGCACCTGGGTGGCTCAGTCAGTTCAGCGTCTGACTGTTAATTTCAGCTCAGGTCGTGATCTCAGGGTCATGGGCTTAAGCCCCTGTTGCAGGGAAGCCCTACATTAGACTCTGCACTGGGCATTGAGCCTGCTTATGATTCTTTCTCTCCCTCACTCTCTGTCCCTCTCTCCATTTGCATGCTCTGCTTCTTTCTCTCGCTCTCTCTAAAAATAAATGAACAAGTAAATACATCAATAAATAAATAACAAATAAGTAAAATGTTGAACTGACTCATGAAAGAGTAGTAACAACAAGAAGAAACTCTATCAGCTCAGCCCCTCACCCTTTTCAATATTTTTTACTCTTTCCTTTCCCTACCCAATTTTTGGCATATTTGGGGCTGATCAACATGGGGGCTCTAACACGTCTTAAGATGGTTTGGTGCCTCTTAGCTGGGAAGGACGTGGAGCGCTTCAGTGTTTGTCCAGGACAGAGGTTCCTCTGGAGTCTGGAATCTGCCTCCCCTCTCTCCCAGGATCAGTTCGGGGCATGGACCATTCAAGCCGACCACTGTGGCCAGTTCATAGGTACACGGACCCTGGACTGTTGTGCAGTATCCATGGAGACAGATATTGCAAATATCGTCACATGTGTCAGTTTCTTTATTGTCAGGATGTGGGGGAAGGCTTTCTCACCTCAGTGCAAAACTCTAAATCTAATAATAGAAAAGACATGAATTCCAAAAATAGGGGTTCTTTTTCAGAATAAAATAACAAAGAAAAATGAAAATCAAAGGGCGGAAATATTGGCAATATGTATTACTGATCAATGGTGAATCTCCTAAATATTTTAAAAGCTCTTGAAAATCAAGGAATGAAAGACCTCCCCCCCCCCAGCACACAAAGAAAAATGATCAAAAGTCATGACAAATAGTTCATGGAAAAAGATAAATAGTCCTTCAGTACATGAAAAGATGCTCAATTTCCTTAATATGAGGAATGCAAATGAACACTGTACTGAAATATTACTTCTCGCCTGTCACATGGCAGGTGTTCAAAGGCTTGACTAGGCTGTGGGGAAAACGCACTCAGACATTGCTTATGTGAGTAGCAAAATGGCACAGGACCTATAGGAGGAAATGTGGCAACATCAAACAAAACCACATATTCATTTCTTTGACCTAGAAATCCCCTTTTTAGGAATTTACCCTGAAGAGACCCCCCAACAGACAGGAAACAGTATATGCGTGAGGTTGTTCACTGCAGGACTCCCGATGATAACAAAATGGTACTTACTACCCAAAGGCTTATCCATACCAGACCTGTGACATAACGAGTATCTCCATGCAATAGAAAACAATAAAGTTGTACAAAAACGAGGAAGACCTCCAAGAAGTGATTTTTAGGAATGAATTCCAGGATATATTGTTAAGTAAAAAAGAAACGGAAAAGGAAAAAGAAAGCAAGGTATAAAGAGTCCGTGTGTTTATTTATTTTTTAAAGATTATATATTTATTTGTCAGAGAGAGAGAGAGAGAGAGAGAGAGAGAGCATGCACAGCAGGGGGAGTGAGAGGCAGAGGTAGAGAGAGAAGCAGGCTTCCCGTTGAGCAAGGAGCCCGATGCAGGACTCGATCCCAGGACCCTGGGATCATGACCTGAGTTGAAGGGAGCCTCTTAACTGACTGAGCCACCCAGGCATCCCACTGTGTGTTTATTTTTACAAAGAGAAACACAGAAAGCATAAACCAAAACTAATGAAAATGATTACTGTAGGATGTGGTTGAGAATGAAGCAGAAGGGATGGAAATGAGAATGAGTCTTTAAAAAAATATAATTTTAGCATAATCTCCTCCAGTCCCATCCATGTTGATGCAAGAGATTATGCTGAGTGAAATAAGTCAAGCAGAAAAAGTCAATTATCATAAGGTTTCATTTATTTGTGGAACATAAGGAATAACATGGAAGACATTAGGAGAAGGAAAGGAAAAATGAAGGGGGGGGGGTTTTAATCAGAGGGGAGACAAACCATGAGGGACTATGGACTCCAGGCAACAAACTGAGGGCTTTAGAAGGGAGAGGGTGGGGGATGCGTGAGCCTGGTGATGGGTATTAAGGAGCGCACGGATTGCAGGGAGCACTGGGTGTTATACACAAACAATGAGTCATGGAATGCTACATCAAAACCTAATGGTATACTGTATGGTGACTAACATAAGAGAGTAAAAAAATGAATAAACACTAAAAATATCATTTTGACTTCTGAAACATGTGAATTTTTTACATACTAATAAAATTAAAAGCTGGTAAAAATTTTGAAAACAATCAAATGCGTGTAAACTATATATCGAGTTAATAATATAAGCATACAGAATAAAGAATTCAGGTAACTTTTGAACAAAGTACTACCTGTTAATGCTAAAATCCTTGCTGGGAATTTTGTTGGGAAATAGGATATTTGCACATTCTCAAAGTACCACTCACAAACTGGTTGTTAATTACAAGCGGGAAAAGACATTTTACAATGGCCAGTGCTGACAGGCCTCACCTTAACCAAATAACCAAGCCCCTTTTCTTATTGTGGTAAAATATATATAACATAAAAAGTTACCATTTTAACTGTTTTTAAGTGTGCAGTTCATGGACACTAAGTACATTCTCATTTTGTGTAACCAACACCGTTGTTCCTTTCTAGAACCTTTTTCATCTTCCCAAACTGAAACTGTAGGCACTACAATTATCAAAATTGGCATCACCCGGCGGGCTCACCCGACCTTAGTGCGTGCTGTGGAGATTCCGTGGGAAGGGCACTTCAGCTCTGGGGTGGTTGTGCCAAAATGTTCTGAGTCGAATAGAGGAAATAATCAGACAACTTTAGAATGCAGAACATGCCACACAATTCCTGGCTTGACCTCCAAAGATATCAATGACATAAGAGAGAGAGAGAGATGATAGATAGATAGATAGATAGATTGATTGTTTTAGATTAAAGGAAACTAAAGGCACATGACAACCAAATGGTAGCAGAATCTTCTGTTGGATCTCGGATTTAAAAAACTAACAGCTATAGTGCACATTTGGGGGATAATGGGAGAAATTGGAATATATTATATGTTACATAAAATTATGGTATCAACATTAAATTTCTTGCGTATACTAATAGAATTATAGTTATATGGAAGAATCTCTTTGTTCTTAGGGGTGAAATGTCATGACTAACTTTTAAATGGTTAAATAGACCAGGGCTCCTGGGTGGCTCATTTGGTTAAGCGTTTGCCTTCAGCCTAGGTCATGGTCCCAGGGAGCTTGCTCTTACCTCTGCCTGCTGCTCCCCCTGCTTGTGCTCTCTCGCTCGCTCGCTCTCTGTCTCTCTCTGTCTGTCTCCCCCTCTCTCTGACAAATAAGTAAAATCTTTTTTAAAGACCAACTGTATTAACATACATATTTATGAAAAGGGGAGAGAAAGAAAGAAATGTAGTAAAATAAAAAGTTGGGAGAAAGAAGACAAAATAAGATGAAAATACTATATAATTAAAAGGGCCATTGATGATTAATGTAAAAGCTTTTATAAATATAGATATTTCTAGTTCAGAGTTATATGTTCACTCATTTTACTCTTCATATTTTAAACCAAATGGTCAAACTACATAAAGTATTTTCTTGAACTTTCTATTCTCTTTGGTTCTGATGTTTTAGTATGCAGCCTATGTAGGTCTTTAATCACGCAGATAAAATTAAAATTGTATCTTCAGAATTACATTTTATGGAATTTTATAAGTTTGTTCCTTCAGGGCAGGAATTTAGTTGTGAGATTTTGGATCCTTAAATAAGACAATACGGAAAGAATTTTGAAAGCATTTCTAATAGACTTCGCTCGATGCAGATTTAATTATACTATTATTTCAGAAGATGGTGTGTCCCCTGGAAAGGCATTCTTGTACTTCAGATCAGAGATGGACACAGAGGGGAAAGAAGTCAACATTTGGACAACACGAGTGACTAGCGTAGAATGTGGCATCTGAATCAGCCGGCATCCATATGTCAGCCCGTATTATAACCTCTCTTCCAGGCGGTGAAATTGACTGTGTGGATAAGGACGGCAACACTCCTCTCCATGTGGCTGCAAGATACGGTCATGAGCTTTTGATTAACACCTTAATAACCAGCGGAGCTGACACAGCCAAGTAGGTTACTGCAAAAACCCAGTGGGATGATTGCCACGTGTGGGAGCACTGCCAAAGGGGTCTGCCATGCAGTGGACAGTTTCCATTTATCTAGGTTAAGGTAGATCTCTACCATTGGGCTAAATACAAGTGAAATTTGAACTAAATTAAGTGACTTTTAGTGGTGGATGCAAGAAAGAACCAATTTTATGCTCAGCTACTTCAGAAAGAGGACATTCCAGTGGTTTTAATTAAGGAGACTTGAACTCTATTCCTAACTCTTTCTCACGTTCTGTTCCTTCCAGTGTTTAACATTGGTTAGGCAGGAAAAATAAGACATGGTTGGGCAAATTCAGGGAGTACCGTTGAGTAAATCTGCTACATGGGGAAGGGGGGAACCTGACCTCATTTTATACTTCCGTTCCCCAAGAATATAAGCAGATACACAAGTCAGCTATAGTGCTGGGTGCTCTGGGAAGTTTCGGAAATAAATCACCTGGTTGGTACCTTTAAGGGGCTCATAATTTTGTTAGAGGCCAAGGCCCTCTTAAGACAAAGAGCCATGCAAGAGAGTATATAATAAAGTTCTAAATGAAATAGGACTTAAGTGGCAGAGTGTTCAGTGCAGACAGTGTATGCCATAGCCTGTAGACAGGAGAGAGCTCAAAGGTGGCCAGAGTTTTCAGAAAAGCCTTCAAGCAGAAGGTGAGTTATAAGTAGGCTTTGAAGGGTAGCAATGACTTGAGTGGAGCAGAGGGTGGCAGACATCCAGAGCAGGGAGGAAAGCAGGAACAAGAGTTGAAAGAGTATAATTCCAGGATCGCTGCCCTGAGGTAGTCTCATGTGCGGGTTGGGAGCCCAGGCTTTCATGGGCACCACATGGGCGCCAATCCAAGCCACCTTACCTGGGGGCTGTGTGACCTAGTGCCTATTGCTTAAGCTCTCTGTGCTTCCGTTTCCTCTTTTCAAAAATGGGAGTTTTGACAGTACTTGCCCACAGGTGTGTTACGAGGATTAAAGGATTTAATTACCAGTAAAGATCTCTGGTATAGGTTAAGATCAATGTGAGTATGAGTTATATAAATATATTCCCTAACATAATTAAACAAGATAATCCATGTTAAGAGCTCTTTGAAGAATGCCTAGCCCAGAGGAAGCTATCAACAGCTATTATTTTATTATTTAATAATATGCCATAGAATCAAATTCAAGAGAGCCTTAAAGAACTGAATAGAGTGTAGCTGTGACCGCAGAGACCATGGGTAACAAAAACCAAGTTTTCAGGAGAGCAGTATAAGGGCACTGTAGCATTGGGAGTTCTGTTTTATTTGCCAAGTATTGTGCAACAGAACTAAAAATCTTGCTTGAGAATAAGCCAAAATTTAAATGGTCCATGGAAGGCACTGGTGGCTTCCAGCAACCTCCAAGGGTCCAGTCTAGTGGCAGGAACAAGATCCAGAGCAGACAGCTCAAGTCTTGTGAAGTTTGTACCGTGCTGTGGGAACATTCAGGGAGATGCTGACACTGTGGGTTTCACAAAAGAGGGGACATTTCAGCAAAAAGAAGGATGGGTAGGAGTTAGCCAGGTAAACAAAATTGTGTGAGGAAAAAAAAGGTGAAGGAAACACAAGGAAGGACAGTCCAGGAAAGGAGAACAGTATTTACAAAGGCACAAACATGTCAATGTGTTGAAAGCAGATTGCCAAGCCTGGATTACCTGATGTGTGTGGAGAAATGGAAAGCAGTGAGGTGGGATGGCAGGAAGAGCCGCCATCTTGAAGGCCCTTGCGTGTCCTGTGAAGGAGTTGGGTTCTGTTCTGAGGCATTTGGAATCTGTTAAAGAATTATACGTGGATGTAGGGAAGGTTGTGTCTCATGATCCCATTTGTGTGTGAGAAAGACCACTCCAGCTATAGCCCAGACATGGGGGAGGTGGTCCAGACCAGGGACATGTGGCAGCCTTTTGCACACGTCCAGGGAGGAGAAGATGAGGTCTTGGGCTCCGGGTGAGGCTGGGGGCAGGAAGAGAGGGCCACGCTGACAAACAGTGAGAGCAGTGGGCTGTCTCCTTGCAGAAGAAAGGAATCCACTTACAGTCGAAGAACCTTTTTGCCTGGGCTACTGCAAGTTGGAAGAAGCAGCTCAGTCTTGTGGAAAGAGCACTGTCCTAAGATCAGGGAGCTCTTACTGGATTCTGAGTTCCCTACCACACCATGGCTACCCAAAGCCAGAGCCAAAGTGCTCCGTGTTCATTGAGCAGGAGTCAGATATCTAGGCCCACCCACTTCACCTGTGATATGTTAACATTTACAGTGGTATTTTTCTTTCCACTCAGGGCTACTTGGGGTGTTTTGACCAAACAACCATGAATTTCTGATTTTCTTCCAGACTTGGATCCACCTGAGGGAGAGACAGGGCCCACTACTTACTCAAAATTTCCCCAAACACATTCCCTCTATAAGCACAAGGTTCGTTTCTTTGTAATTATTTTGCCCTCAGTTTACTGGAACACACACCATGTGGCAACAGTGCCTTAGAGATGGTGTTGTTGCCCAGTAGCCTTTCCTTCCACCGACTGTGCTGTGTCCTGGGGATGCCACAGAGGCAAACATTGTCCCGGCCTCAGGGAGCCACATCTGGTTATGTCACAGCGTACCTGGGGATAAGAATGCTTCCTGCAGTAAACAGTGGTTCATTAGGCTGCACTCGTGTGTGTGTGTGTGTGTGTGTGTGTGTGGTGCATGGGGAGGGAAATCACCTGAGGGGAAATGTCAAGATAGGGGAAGGAAAATTGGAGAAGATTAAGTTTGCAAAGAGCCCTCAGAAAATCACTGTTGTCTGGGTTCCTTGTAAGTCTATGTGGAGTAGCTTATTAAAGAGGAGAAAGGTGGGACCTTCCTTCTATTAATACCCAGACAAACAGATAACATTTATGAAAGTACCTATCCTCACTCATAAACAATATGACCCAATGTATTTTAAAGCTCTCTATATGACAGGTACTATGGTCATTACTTTCTTACGGAGTTGTTTGATTCTCCTTCTCGGCCGATGGAATGTTTTTGATATTCTTTTTCCTTCTCTGGGCTTCAAGTCAGAGCACTTTGTGCGGCTTGACTCAGGGCTCCTGCAACTTTATGTGGTGGTTTTTCTTCTTTAACATTTTTGGGTTCGAGACGCTTGTCTCTGGGATTTTAGTTTGTCTTCTACCTTACTGATTCGGCCTCAATGGCAGCAAAATTAGGGGCATCCGAGTAGACGCAGGTAACGGGCTCTGCCATCTGTTCATTCGCTGCGTATTTGCGGAAGGTCAGCTCCTGGCCTTGCAGGAGTCCCTGCCCTCACGGAATTCATAATTCACAGGGGGCAGGAATTAAACAAACAGTTACAATCAGGCATGCAAAGTGTGATTCCAGAACAACCTCTGGGTGCCACCGGATACAGAACATATGTGGGACCTACTGGGGCTGGGGCAGGGGGAGGCTTCCGGGAAGAGCCGTGCTGATGGGGACGGCAGGGCGGATAGAGGTTGGTTAGGTCGTGGCACCGACAGGCTTGCAGATCCCAGGTGTAGACTTAAATTATGTTTATTTTTATTATTCATTATTATATATAAATATATAAATATTTACATGTATAAACATATATTAATTTATAAATATACATATATTATTTATAAATATAAAGATATATTATAATAAATATATTATTTTATATTTGTTATTATATTATTTTTATTACAGCGTTACTCAAATGTGGATAAATGTAAAATTAGATAGAGACTCCTTAGGCTTTGACTCTACTCTGTCAGTAAGTCCAAAGAAACCCCGACAGCATCCGTGCAAACAGCACTCAGTGCTCACGGGTCAGCAGGAGCAGCAAACGTTCATGAGGCCTTGCTTACCCACGCTAGGCACCGGCTCTCGGGAATTATACTTAATTGTCACAGCGGTCCCAGGGGGTAAGTGACACGATTAGCGCCATCTTATCAGTGACGTAAATGGGACACAGAGAGGTTCACTTACTTCCCTGAGGTCACAGAGCTCGTGAGGGGGGGGAAATGAGACTGTGTCCTCGGCCATCCGGATCTGGAGGTGAGGCTCCTCGGCGAGAGGCTCGCTGCCTCTCTGCGTAGTGGAGGGTGGGACAGCGCACCATTTGCCAAAATTAAATCGCCATTGTCCTGGGGTTATTGTCCCGGTGGCCAAGGCACTGACTCGTAGGAGGTTAGCACATGCTGGGCGACTGGAAGTTTTGCAAAGGCTTCGATGCGGTACAGGTCCAGTGGCTGGTCACACAGCACAGATGCCAACTGCCACCAAATTCTGCGCGTCTGGAAGACTAAGCCTACTGCGTTGTCACTGGCCCTTCCCAGCTCCAGGCATCGTTTGCCTGTCACGTCCACCTTTTTTCTGTTGTTATTGGCCCCTGCCGAGTACAGTAGCTCCACATGGCACCGGTGTGGTTCCGAGGACAGACACGGGCGCTGGCATACGGCCGAGGTCTGTTGTGAGAAGGTGGTTGTTGAGATGAGCCAAAACGTGCTCTTAGATCACTCGCTTTAGGTTATGATCAAAAGGAAAAGACAGTTTAAAGATCCCCACAGAGAACTCGTGAGAGCCCAAAGGTGCTGCCAGTGGCCCCCAGAGATGCACTAACAAGCTTGAGAGAGACTGCGAGAAGGTGGGCAGAAAGATGAGTTTCTCGAGACACCCACGTGTGCCCAAAAAGGCCTCGGGCAGGATAGAGCCTTGGCTTCTCCAGGAGGAAGGGACAGAAGTCGCTGCAGTTCTAGAGTACTGGTCGATAAAGCAACAGCTGGATCAGAAGCGGCTTGTAAGCTGCGTTAGAGTGTTTGGTCTTGATTCGAAAGAAACCACTGGAAGTGTCAGTAGGTTGCAAACAGCAAGGACCAGGCCTCATTGTTGCCAACTGTACCCAAATGCCTCCAACTTACGGGTGTCTGATAAATACTGAGAGTGACGTAGATGAAATTAATAGGAAACTGATTTTTGATTTGGGTTGATCCATCAAGTAAGAAGCATAAAATCTCACTCCTGAGTGGACAGAACTAAACCAGTCCACCTTCCCTAGGAGACTTGTGAGATAAGTACCATAAAGAATTCTGAGTATGGCGCATAAACAGTGTATTCTGGAACACTGAAAAGAAATTTTAAAAATAAATAAAAAGAAAAAAAAAAGAATTCTGAGATGTAGAAAGATAACAGAAATGCTAGTTGATCACAATTTTTTCTTGGCTTTTTAAGAGTCACAAACCTGATTTTAAGGAATCACAGCCTGATAAGACTTCAAAACTCACAGGCTGCTGATTATCCCACTAAGCTAATAATAATTTCAAGGGCAATAATAATACTAACTTGTATGGTAAAGGCTTATCATGGTCCAGACCTTCTGTTAGCACTTGGGTGCATTACTAATTAGTTTAATTGCTAATTATTAATTAGTTTAATTAATTAGTTACAGTTGCTCTATAAAATCAACACTGTTATGATATTTGTTTTCTGGGTGAGGGAAGCATTATATACTTGCCAAAGATCAAACAGCTGGCAAGTGTCAGGATTAGGACTCAGACCCAAGGTTTTTGACTCCATCGCCGTAACTACAGTGTGTTTTTAGGGTATCGCCTGAAGGAAGGCTCTGGAGAGCACTGGAAGTGGGAAGGAACAGCCATAGCTCTCTGATGCCAAGGGGAGAGCTTCAATGGACTGATGTTCTGATAGTGCATGAGCCCTTTCCCTACCTCCGATCGCTGTCTACAATTTATTCTGACCTCATTTATTCTGAAATAACTGGCCAGGAGATGCCAGCTAACAGCTAAATTAGAAATAGCTAATACAAATGTGTCCCATTAATTTTATGGCTGGTCAAATAAATGTAGCATCTTAGCTGGAATTGGTCTCCTCTTTCCTGTAATTTATGCACTGTTAAGTTTAGTGTTATCTGACATCTTTATTTCTTGATCTTCTTTGATGTATATCTGACGAAGTCAGAGTGACGCTTCTTATTTGCCTAGGACAGCCAAACCCTAATTTCCCTGCTAAAGGTTTTATGGCTCTTCCTTTATAAGCAGTCTTACTTTATAACAATAAAGGAGTAATTTTATCTTGAAATGCGTGAATCATTTCTGAAGTGATTCAGAGATCCTGAATTTGACTTTTATTTCCAATCTCGGCCTGATATTTAGTTTTCATATTTGAGCCATAGTATCATATTCAAGTTCAAATATCAGTGGTACTTGAGTCTAAATTAATGTATTTTCAAACCTACACTGAGATAGTGATTTTTTAATGAACGATGGAATAAAATATATATATCAAACAGAATTATTGCTAGACCTTTTAGAATAGTTCTACCCCCCTTAGCTTCTCAAGGTAAGTAATAGGAAAAAAAAGGAAGGAATTAGCTAATGTAGAGTATGATGAATTATCTGAAGACAAGGATGTTAAGTGTCAAAGTTTATTAGAAATTTGCATATGAAATTTACAGACTATGTTACCATGCTGTTGTTGTTATACTATAACTTACACCTTTTATGTTTTTCCTAATTGATTTCTTATAGAATTGAATGCTATTTTCTCTAATTCTTTTGCTTATATTATTGTATGAAAGATACGTATTTTTTGTATCTTTATGAAATATGTATTATATTATGTATATATACATATGTGTGTATATGTATGTATATATAATATGTATATAATATAAAATGTTTTCATATATTTATATTTTGTAGATTATGTATTTGTACACAAATATATTTTTATTAAAGTCATAGTTAAAGAATGGGGAAGGCTCAAAGAAATCTTGGGAAATCCCACCCAATTCCAGGCATATTCCTTCAAGAACTTAAAGCCATCCTAGAAAATACTGTTTTTGTCTTACAAATGTCCAGAGATAGTAATATCATCACGTTTTTGTCTTACTTGCCCTAAACAAATAAAGTTACAGACTCCTTGTCTTAAAATTCCACTTAGTAATGTGTTTTTAAAACACACTATACATTTTTTAAAAATCACTGTTTCCCTGGCTTCAAGAGGACAAAGGAAATGCAGCATAGATGGGAAAGCTGCTCTCCCATCCCCCAACGCCGCTTCCTTTCCACGAACATCAAGGTTGTCACTGGTGCAATTGCCTTTCAGAATTTTTTTTGTCAATGACGAGAGCGGCAATTACAAGCAGTTCCCCTCTGCGTGACGCTGCCCAGAAGACAAGCAAATTGCGGCTCTTGATGGATGCCAGCTATTGTAGACAGTGGGTTGGAAATCTCCATATAGGGAAAGGAAAACCAGCAGAGGAGAGACTGAACAAAAACACCAATACACAGAGAGAAGTTTTCATGGAAAGAGAGAAAGAGAGAGAGAGAGAAAGAGAGAAATTGTCGGCAGACAAGGACTTGGCAGAGTGCTGAGCACCATGAGATGGCTGGGAATATGTTTATGCTTTGACACGTTCACACCCATCATTGGAACTTTTGAGATAGCAAATACAAGTCACATATCTGAAACCTAACCCACTCCAACCGTATGTGTTTCTTAATGCATCGTGCGATCTGAAAAGGGGCGACTTTGTGTGAGAGAAGGAACTGACGTCATTGATGCTGCACGTGGAAGTACACGTACTTACTTGTGTTATGCGGAGGCTTGCAAAGTTTTGAAATACGTTATTTGACTCTAACGGGATGTTCTGAGAAATGAGCACTAGCATTATAAATGCTTATGAGAACACCGGAACCCCCCGATGATGCCGCTCGTTAGGAATGACAGTTCAGAACCCGGCTTTGGGTCCTTGTGTGAGGAGAGGTGATGGGCAAGAGGAAGACGGGATTTGATTTTTTTTAAGATTTTATTTATGTATTTGACAGAGAGAGACACAGCAAGAGAGGGAACATAGGCAGGGGGTTGAGAGAGGGAGAAACAGGCTTTCCACTGAGCAGAGAGCCCGATGCGGGGCTCGATTCCAGGACCCTGAGATCATGACCTAAGCTGAAGGCAGACACTTAAAGACTGAGCCACCCAGGCACCCCAAGGAAGATTTGATTTTATTTTTAGGTTTTTTTTTTTTAAGATTTTATTTATTTATTTGACAGAGAGAGATCACAAGCAGGCAGAGAGGCAGGCAGAGAGAGAGGAGGAAGCAGGCTCCCTGCTGAGCAGAGAGCCCAATGCGGGGCTCGATCCCAGGACCCTGAGATCATGACCCGAGCTAAAGGCAGAGGCTTTAACCCACTGAGCCACTTGGGTGCCCGGAAGATTTGATTTTAAAGGAAAAAGCGCTGCTATCAAAAAGCACCTGTCCCTTAAGGGATCATCCTGGGGACTGTGTTATGAAGGGGTATCAGTCTAAAAAGTTCTTTTCTAGATTCTTTCTGTAATACTGTTAGGGAAAGTATGCTAGATTTATGACGTGTATGCCAGGTAACGTTTGTTGCTGCAGTGCATTTTCGTGACCAGTGTCCTGATGTGGGTAATATGCTGGATAAAAGTCTGTTAGGAAGATGAAGTTGCATCTGCAAAAGGTCAACATCGTTTTTTATTTGCATCCAACATTTTGATTTCGATAGTACAGCCATTATTAACTCTCAGCAAAGTACTTGGGACATAATAGGTCAATAGTGTTTCTTTACCAATTCAAGGAATAGAACAGGTTACTGAATAAAACAGATTGCTGACGTAAAATTACTTAGCTGAAAGAAAAAAAGGTAAATTAATCTGAAATATAGCATCACCCTTTATAGGAAACATTATCTGAAAAAGATACTTTCCTATTGTCAGGGGTTTTTCATTCTGGTCCAGGTTCAGGATTTTATCATGTTAATGTGGAAAATGATCACATAATTATTTCCTGAGTAGAGGGATCATGAAATTATTCCAGGCAAGGGCCTCGAAGCGAGATGTTGTGGATTTAGTTTTCATCCAAGAACTTCCAGAAACGTTACTGTCCTTCTGCGTCTATTGTGAGATGTCCCCCTGAGCCGCTCTTTTTTCTTTTTTTCCCTCCTCAGGTGTGGAATCCATAGTATGTTCCCTTTACACTTAGCGGCCCTAAACGCTCACTCGGACTGCTGCAGAAAGCTTTTATCGTCGGGTAAGTAACCCCTTCCCACAGCCGAGGCTTAACGTGTCCTGTAAGGAGCCGCTTGGCTCTGGGTGTCTGGCCCGAGGAAGCGGCTGCCTGTGCTTGGAGTCATCCATCACCTGGTGTAGGGACAGCTCCCAGCGTGCTTGGTGTTGCGGCTGTTTGAGCGGAGGTATTCCTGGCCCGAAATGAGAGTCTTGCCTGTTTTTCCAGTTAAAGCTTGGGTGATCCAGAGTGAGAGACAGGCAGGGGTGGCCATAGCTTCCCGGAAGTTTGTCGGAATCAGGGAAAATTTTTTGAGGCTTAAAAGGGTGGATTGAACAGTTAATATTTTCAACAAAGGAAAAAGGCCAAAGCTGCCATGTTTTGACAGTAGCAATATCGTGTTATCTTCCTCCTCGGTGGGCTCTGATAAATCCCTATGGTGTGATCCCCTCCAACTAGGTTTAATTTTTAGTTTTTTAAATGTGGGTCTGTTTGGAACCAAGACATTTTTTCTGGTTTGGAGCTTTGCTAATCTTTCTTATCACTGCTTCTGCCAACCTCCCTGTATTAAAGAAGTTCCTGGCTTTCAAAGGTGATAGAGGTCTGCAAGGCAAAGATTGTTTATGAATTAATTCAACAGACATCCCAGAGGCATTTTTTTTTCCTTTTAAGTGCTTTACCTATGGTTGATTCTGCCTTCACTGTTCTTGGCATGTTTAAAAATCATCCCTGCATGAAAGCATGTTTCTCAAATCTTAAACCAACCGAAAGCTAGTAATACACATAAGAAAATATCTACCCCAGCATGTTAAGATTCCTCCTTTGCTGTCCATGTTTTCTCCATGTGTTCTGTCTGCCTGTCTAGTGCCCTACTTATCTCAAATTGATTTCATAAATTCCTATCCTGGGATTGAAATATGGGGCTGTGGTTCACCCAGGGCTGAATGTGAAAATAAATTCTTCTAGACTTCACGGTTCTTCCTATAAAATTGCCAAGCTTGAGCAGTTATCATTCGTTTCCATGACAACCTCTTTCTGACTACAATTGCTTGCGTTCTGGTTTTTCTACTAACTGATTTTTCTGTCTCTGCAATGTTTCTTGTGGTTTAACTAGGACAAAAGTATAGCATAGTATCCTTGTTTAGTAATGAGCACGTGCTGTCTGCAGGCTTTGAAATAGACACCCCAGATAAATTTGGAAGAACGTGCCTTCATGCTGCTGCCGCAGGAGGGTGAGTAGTTAGCAATTTCTTTTCTCCCTTCATGACTTAACTCCTCATTTCTCTTACTTGGCTTAAATTGTGAATCACAAGCAGTCTCCTTAGATGGGTAAGAATCATTTCTACCGACGCCAAATAGCACTTTTGCATTTCCATATTAATTGTAAGTTTGTTCTTCCTAAGAAAAATTGTTAGCCCACCTCATAGAGAGAATTGTTTTCTTTCGTTTCCTCTTCTCTCTCTCTTTTTCTTTTTTTTTTTTAATTGTAGGTCTTCAGCCTATAGAATATGTACCTCCCTGATATGCATTCTACCAAAAGAAAACAATTTGAGATTTGTTCCTAAGTTTTTCCTTTTTTGTCACTGGTAGGTAGATGATGATCAAAGGAATCCAAGATTGAGTTAGTTCATGTTTATTTACAGATATTTTTGTCCTGATTTCAAAACTGATTTTTAAGTACTTCAATGGTTAAATGTGACTAAAGGGCAAAGAAACCCAAGGGATAGGCAAGAAGCAATTTAATCCTTGCCTTTTTTTTTTTTTAAGTTGTAAAGAGCATTTTTCATCAGACACCCTTTTTCATATCAGTGGTGAGACTACGGCTCTGGTCAGCGTGTTTCTATATATGACCAGACATTGACCAAACATGGCCTCCCTTGGGTGACCTTGTTTGGGTAAGGTGTTAGTTCTCAATCAGTCTGCTAGTCCTCAGGGAACAGTGATGCTTCTCCATTTGTCATCTGTACATTATCAAAGGCATTACCTCTTTATCAGAGGTGGGTTGACTGTGAAGCTTTAGAGACCTTACTTGCATGGGTCCCTTCCAAAATTGTGTATTCAGTTTTATATTCATAATTATGTCTTATTTTTTAAATCACTCTCCTTCTCCCCAACCTTCTCCCCAAATTGAATGACCTTCATAAGCCAAACACCTAGATCTGCCTCTGCCTTTGTTCCTTTGGCTTCACTCAGTAAGAGACAGGTGCTTTTACGTCAACTGGCAGGCAACACCAACACATCATGGTCCCAGAAAGTTCTTATATTTTAGGACTGAAACAGTGGGTTCTCTGAGAAAGGTGGCTACAAAGAGTGAGTGGGGGGGGTGGGGGAGCCTTGCTCAGGTTCCTCGTTAATGAGATCATTTTTCATATTAAAATGGTAATAAAAGAGTAAATTCTAGACTGCCTCTCAGCCCTCCAAGTGTAGAACAATAATGGGCGATTGTCTCTTTTTATGCCGACATTTAAAAAAATTATCAGACCTTGGCAACGCACCATCCTGGGTTCATATCTGAAACTCCTATTACAATTAATATTTAGCGACATGCCCTTCAATTGGAAAATTCACTTCAGTGGGTCCTTTATGTCTACTAAACATGATTTATTGCTTCTGAGAGTGACAAAGAAGCTCTGGAAGATCACTGTGCCCCCTTACATTATTTTTGTCCTTTTATTTTTTGCACATTTATTTACCTATATTACAAGGACAGGGAAATGCAGCTGTCTTATTTCCCATTATGGAGAGTCTGGGTTGAAAATGGTTATCACGGTGAATTCATTCTCCTGTGATAAAAGGTAATGTTTCTCCATTCTGGCTCATTGTGTAGAGGTGACGTGAAGTTATCATAGGCGTAAGGGGTTGTTTCCTAAACTCTTGATGGTTTTGAAAGAGATTCTCGGGCTACATGATGAAAATACCACTGAAGGTTTAACCATGTAATCATCATTAAATACCTTTTCCTTGGAATTGGAAAGTTCCATCAAGCTCTTTAATGCATCGATTTATTAGCTTGGAACTTTAAATCCTTGCACTGTTCCATTCCTCTAAGATGTTCAGGTTGGTTTTGCATTAGTAGAATTTAAAGCTGGAGTTCTCATTTCATCTTGGCCCCACACTTCACCAAAATCAGCTCTGTCTGAAGATAGCCAAGCAGTTGACCTCTACCATCTTAATGAGGTTTTCCCTGTCTTTCTAGTAATGTGGAATGTATAAAACTCTTGCAGAGCAGCGGAGCAGATTTCCATAAAAAGGACAAGTGTGGGAGGTATGTAAATGGGGAATTCTGCTTCAGTGCTTCAGTGACGGGTGGGGAGCAGTCCTTCTGGAATCGTGTTACAGTGAAATGGTAAACAGGGAAGCTAGCTAGGGAGATTCCTTGCTCAGAAGGAAATCCCTTTTTGTAGCGAGACACCCACGAGGCAGACACAAGCCCCAAGGCAGGCATGTCCTCTCATAGAATCTGTTTGGAAGTGCCAACTGTGTCTTGTCTTCTTCTGGTCTTTTCCCATAGCATCTCTCTATTCCCTCCCCTCCACATGCACCCTGGTTCTTGAAGTTACAATAGATTTCTTCTCTTCCCAACCTGCCTAGGCTAATGCCTACCCACCCTTCCAGATTTCTGTCAGGTAACACCTCCTGCCCCTGCTGGCAGGGCTGTCCCACCTCTCTGCTCCCCTGGGACCTCCCTACTCCACAACGGAAACACACATCACACTGTTCTAGTGGACCCTGGCTCTCCTGTCTCTCCCTTCCCCTGACCGTGGGGCTCCTGAGCACCAGGAATGGGTCTCATTTTCTCTTTACCTAAGGGCTCTGCCACATGGTTGGTACCTAATAGTTTTCCATCTATTAATGAAAACACAAACAGTCCACTATGTAAAGTGCTTATAATTTTCCTGTTTTTAGATGAGCGAGGAGAAACTCAACAAGTAAAAGTGCCCATACATTGACTGTAAGATATGAAAGAGTGGTGCTTGAAAATTAATAAATAGTTCTTGAGATAAAGTTATTTTATTTCTAGCATTTCATTTGCTTATTATTCCCTAACTATTGGCTAGTGAATTCATGTTTCTGCAGTCCCTTACTCTTGGCAAGGTGCATATATTTTCCTGTTACCCACTTGGTTTTCCATAACAACTCTGTGAGATAGATGGAGGTGCTTCTTAGCCTTTTCAATAGATGAAGAAGTTGAGCTTGGAGAAACTAAATGAGTTATACCTGTAATAAATTTCCATGTATGTGTAAAATATCAGGAGTTTTTGACCTAAACTAGATGTTGGGGGCAGCTGCTCACTGGTCATTATTGAAGGAAGACGAGGAAGCCCAAGCCCAGAGAGGGGTGTGGTTTGTTGCCCCTTATAGATCTGTCCGGACTACAACACAGGGCTTCTGAGTCCTTGGACATTGTTCTTCCCTTTAATCTATATCCCTACCCCCAAGGGGCTTATAGTTCAATGGAGAAGATGAGACAATACCGAGAGCTAAAGTTAAGGCAGTGTGAGATGAGACCTCAGGAGAGACCAGACAGGAGCTGCACGATCTCAGACAAAAGAGACGGAGAACTTCTGGAACTTAAGAAGCTTTGGGGTTTTGGTGGGTGGAAGAGGAGAGGACATTCAGGACAGGACATTCCAGGGAAGAAAACAACATGGGGAAAGGTAGGGAAGATGTGGACATGATTAGACAAACTTCAGGTGACCCACTTGGATGCAGTGATGGGTTCATGTGAGGGGGGTGAGAGAGAGTTTATGAAGGTAGTTTGGGCCCAGCTTGGAAAGGTCTTTGATTTTAGACTAAGGAATCAAGGCTTTGCTCAGCAGAGAGGACTGACGGTTTTAGACCAGGATGTTGTGTGTGGGTGTCAGAACTTTCAAAAACTCATTCTTCACTCATACCAACTAGAAATTGGATGGAAGTTTGATTAGAGCTAAGGAGGCCAATAGGGATGGTATTGCAATGGTCCAAAAGAGCACTAGTGTAGACCTATACCGGGACAGGCACTGGGAATGGAAAGAAAGACTAGATCCCCGGGTAGGTGTCCTTGTCTGAGGCCCTGTCTTTGTAGCCTCAGCTCCAACTTATAAAGTCAAAGGAAGGCATGTCTCTTGGCCTCTACCCTCTGAGAGCTGAAGAGCTTTCCCCACTCCTAGGAATACCGCTGTCAGTGCTCCTGCTGAAGGGGGGGGGCGGTGTTTATCAGATGAACGAAGTAACAAATCGCTGTCTGTTTTTCAGGACACCTTTGCACTATGCAGCTGCAAACTGTCATTTCCACTGTATTGAGACATTAGTGACCACAGGGGCCAACGTTAATGAAACAGATGACTGGGGACGGACAGCTTTGCACTATGCTGCTGCATCAGACATGGATAGAAAGTAAAAACAGCCTTGCTCAAATTTCCTTTAGGGGTCTGACTGGGGAGGGGGAGGGTTTGCTAAATTCTCTTCATGCTGCCTCCTGGAAACTGTGAATGAAGAATGTCTCTCATCCAGACCCAGAGGAATTAGAATTGCCTCATCCCTAACCCTGGTTTTCCCATTCTGCTCTCTTTATGTTTGATTATCACATGTCACCGCCCCATGGTTTCTCTTCTCTGGTCTTTGGGTTGAATGCCAAGTGGGGCTGTCAAGCCTAGGTTTTCAGTTCATTCATAATCAGTTGTAATTTATTTTGTCATATCCTACAGTTTTCATCATCACCATTTAAATGCTTCATTTGCCCTCAAACTTAATATTTGCTAATAGATTCATCACATGGTGGAAGTATTCGTCTATATATGATCCCAGAAGCCTTCAAATGCAGCGTCAGTGTGCAAAATTGGCACTGTTGTTCCAAACTGGGCACGGATGCTCTTTCAGGAGCTGGAGGAGAGGAAGTTGGGTGCCCTGTGCATGTTTGGATTCTAGGTGCCTAGGAACAGAAAGCCAGTTCAAGTGGGAAAGGGGGTAGGGGTGCCAGCCTACAGTTTCTGAGATTGCTCTCAAAGATTCGAGGACCGGGGCCTCCTTCCTAGGAATGCTTTTTGGTGTCCCTGTTTGGAGAATTATTGACTTACATGCTGTGCTGTGCTATGGAATTGATTCTGGGTCAGCGTGCACAGCTGTGGCTTTCAGATATTTTACAGTGATCCACGGTAAGAAATACATTTTACATCATGACCCAGCATCCATACTCAACTAGGTATGTTTTAAATATAAATGTAAAAAGACAGCCAAAATTTCACAAGACCATATTTACCTTGACTATGTGTGATGCATTCTGATATCTTCTCTTTTATTTTGTTAAGAAAAAAAAAAAAAAAGCAACAAAATACTGCGACCCACGAAATGGATTTCACGATTCCATGATGGATTATGACCTGTATTTCCAGTTTGGAAATCAGTGTTCAAATCCCCCTCACATTCATACACTGCTGGCGAGTCTGACAGAGCTGCCCTCGGGCTCTCATAGGCAGGCCGGTTATTAATTCAGCAAACATTTATTGAGAACCTACTCCGTAGCAGGCTCTGTGCTGTTCTCTTAGAATAAACTGGGGGAACGAGTACCCATCATGTGTTAAGAGCTATAAAAAGGAATCCCTGGTGATGAAAGCTTGCTCTGGCCATCGAGGGGTGACTGGAACCCCACTCCTCGGTAAACGTGGTGCTGAGCTGACTAGGAGGCGGCGAGGCATGTGGAAGGAGTCAGGGAAGTGTAAACCTCCTGTTTACGCGGGGAGCTTAGGATACTCGTGGAAGGGTGGACGACTTGAGGTCTTACTCGCCCTTTCCTGGGTGGGAGCTCGAGGGAAGCAACGTTCTCAGTTGGGTTCCGTGGAAGAGGATAGGGATGGCCTTTAAGAGAACCATGTATGTCCTGCCTGAAAAGACCGGTGATGCTTACTTCTTTTGGGTTGTGGGAAAAGTCGTTGAGATATAGGTTGGATCAAATCGCGAGCGACTGTGCCATGAAAGCAAATAATTGTAATTTTTTTTTCTTTCCCTTATGCTGAGAAGTAAGACTATGTTAGGAAACGCCCATGAAAACTCAGAAGAACTTGAAAGAGCCCGAGAGCTGAAGGAAAAGGAGGCTGCGCTGTAAGTTTCTGCTCGGCTTAAAGCGCAAGATGGGGTCACTGGTGCGCGTCTGCTTTTCTGGTTGCCACCTTTTATTTGGGATCTTGAGGAAGTGATGTGGGCTTGCCTTTAGTGAAGCATATATCCTTCGGTTATGCTATTTTCACACAAGAAACTCTTCCTAAAGTTGGAGCCTAACTGAGACCGTCGCCGTGATGGGTCCGTGGTTTCTCGGCGTCTGAAATACCATGTTTGACTCTGCCACGTATCGTATGCGTCAGGAGACATGTTAAGCCTCCCCCCGGGGCCTTAGGCTCTCCTTTAATGACCTGGGATAACTATCTGGCAGGTTCTAGAAAGAAATGTTCTGAGATTCCAGGGTGAACTACACTGCTTGTGCCCCGCGCCCCCCCCCAGGACACACACCACAGCTCACAAACACCCCCTGCCCCACCGCACCCCACGTGCCCCTCTCTGGCTTCCAGTAGAGACTCAGCCTGGACTGTGACAAGAGCTGGGAGTCACTGCCGTCACCCAGGGGTGCCGATGCATAGGAAGCAGTAATGCTTAGTCCTCTGAGAGTCCCTCCTGTGTGACAAGGCACCGTGCGAAGGTTGTGCTCTGCCTGGAGCAGTGCCCAGTGTGTCACGGGGGTTCGGTAACTGTTTATTAAAAAACGAGCAAATGAATGAGCGCTGCCCACATTCTGTGTCCCGCTCTGTGGGGCCTGGGGAGGGGGTGCTCTAAGAGTCTGCACACATGGTTCCTAACTCGTTTATTCTCTTCTCCAGCTGTCAGAGGAGCCAATTTCTCTGTCACCCGAAGGCTTGTGTCCCTTCTGGGATCTTCCCGCGGTCCACTGGGCTCTCTTCCCATGTCCAGACCATGGTGGAGCAGGGAGTTAGAGAGTGTGGCCCTGAAACAGGCTGTCCCTGGGGTGAAGACAGGACACATAGTAAAACAATGACCAAGCTTTGGCTCCAGTGTTCCAAACTTAGTGATATTCAAAGGCTGTAGAATCTTAAGCCACCTCAGCAAATGCCCCTCCTCCAGCGAAATGGCAGCTTGCCCAGTGCCAGAGCAGCCCTCTTGACATCTGATGGGGAGGGAGCCTGGGTGGCCCAGTTGTCAAGCATCTGCTTCAGCTCAGGTCATGATCCCAGGGTCCTGAGATCCAGCCCCGCATCGGACTCTCTGCTCAGCAGGAGGCCTGCTTCTCCCTCTCCTACTCCTCATGCTTGTGCTCTCTCCCTCTCTCTCTCTCTCTCTGTGTCAAATAAATAAATAAAATCTTCAAAAAAAAAAAAAAAAGAGTGCTGTCAGTAGCATCACGAGGCTCTGTCCTGGGGTAAATAACTCTTTGGGAGCAAATCCAAGTGTTTTTCAAATTACATATTAAATTCGCCAACTGATTTTTAGAATGTAGCTCTTTCAGAAGCTGGGGACTTTGTGTCCACTACAATGTTATTCCTGTTGAAGGATTTTATTTCAGGAGCCGAATGCTGCTTAAAGTGAGTCAGACCTGGGAGGCTGTCCGTGGGCATTTAATTACAAAAAAAAAAAAGACTTCCTTTTAAGATGCAAATCACCAAAGACTGCATGATATTAGGACTCCAGTATTAGTTTGATTTAATATGGAGCATTTTATGGATAATTCACATGACATATAGATATTTGGTTTAAAAAATGTATGTCTTTCATCAGTTTTTCTAGAAATTGAAATGTGTTTTAATTGTGTTTGTGTGTGATTTATTTACTCCTTTTGCCTTATGCCAAAAAGTAGGTGAGTGTCATTTTAAAGTGTTTGAGTCACAGGATGGTGTATGGAAGTGTGAATCACTTTATTTTATACCTGAAACTAATATTACACTGTATGTTAACTAATTAGAATTAAAATAAAAACTTAAAAAAAAAGAAATAAAAACAAAACCAAAAATAAAGTGTTTGAGTAAACTGTAGAAATTTGACTTTATAAAGGACATGTACATCCCAATGCTGCAGATAGAAAACTGAAATTATGGAGTGGGTCTCCTGCCTAGTTATTCTCTTTTTTAAGCAGCAGGATTGTATGTTTTGTAATAGGCCTGGAACAGAACTCTGTACATCCCTGGGCACAAGTGTCCTGGAGTTGGAGGCATTTCAGTGAAGGTGGAGCTCCTTCCTCCAAACTATTGTAAAGATTGTGGCTTTTTCAGAAAAATTACAACTTTGTCAGAAAAGGCTTTTTAAGCTTATTGTTTATTATTTTATTCTAGTCTATACATAATGATGCAATTTAAACCTCTCTCTTCAAATGTGGTTACAGAATTAATCCTTTGTATTATTTAAATGTTCACTCATTCCTTTAATATTTTTATTGTTTGGGCTATTCTTAAGTTCTTTCCTTGTTATTATTTTCTTATTCTTTCTAGCTTTCATTTCCCAACCTTTTGATTGACCGCCGAGTCTCCAACTGCAAGGTTAAAAGTACACCCCCCTCTCTTCTTACATTGGGCTAAGCACATCTTTGTTAAATTTGAGACTTCATCTTTTGAATGTGGAGCTCTAGAACTCATTTTTAGTAATTTTTTTTAAGATTTTATTTATTTGAGAGACAGAGACAGAGATAGTGACAGAGAGCACAAGTGGGGAGGAGAGGGAGAAGCAGGCACCAAGCAGGGAGCCCGATGTGAGGCTCCATCCCAGGACCCTGGGATCATGACCTGACCCAAAGGCAGAGGCTTAACTTTACTTTACCTGCTGAGCCACCAGGTGCCTCTCTTCGGTAATCTTGATGGCCGACAGGGTCTGTGCACTGGGTGTCATGCGCAAATGATGAATCATGGAACACTACATCAAAAAATAATGAAGTACTGTATGGTCACTAGCGTAATTTTAAAAAATAAGGTAAAAAGGGAAGAAAGACTTAATTATTCTTTATTATGCTAAGTGAAACAGGTCAGACAGAGAAAGACAAGTATCCTAAGATTCCACTTATGTGTGGAATCTAAAAAAGAAAAGAAATGCGCAAATAAAACCAGACACAGACTCCTAAGTACAGGGAACAAACTGGTGGTTTCTGGAAGGGAAGTGGTGGAGGGATGGGCGGAAAAGTGAAGGGCTTTACACGGTCCCATTTCCAGGTATAAGATACGTAAATCATGGGGATGAAAGGTACAGCATAGGGAGTCCTGTCAATAATATTGTAATGACGGTGTGACCGTCATTGTAATGAAGGTGACCACACTTAGAGTGGTGAGCATTGCGTAATGTAGAGAATTCTGAAATCACTGTTGTAGACCTGAAACTAATATAACATTGTACGTCAACTATAAAAAAAAAAACAACCCAAACATTCTGTTATCAATGTAGGAGGAGACAACTGGATCATTTTAATAGAATAGAGTCCAGATATGAACCTTGTGTTGGATAGATACGCAATATTGATGATGACCTTAAAACAACTCAGTGGGCAGGGGACAGTCATGGATAATTTTTCCCCCCTCTCAATAAACTTAACCACTCTCTTGTTCCTAAAGCCTTTCCTGAATTCTAGAATGACTAATTTAAGCTGAAGCTAAGACGGAAACACACACACACACACACACACACACACACATATAAAACTTCCGGTACATACCCTGGGGATAAAAAGATATTATATGTTTATGAAAAATAA